TTGTTTCTCTACAAACTCACATGAGGCCAGGTACTTAGGGCCAATAAAAGTATTTTTTTTTATAATTATTATCAAACTTGTTCAAATCTGGAAATCTAGAAATTTGTGTTAATATGCTCTTATTTGGTTTGCAGGTCTTATATTCTATGTTTCTTGAATGTTTTAGTCTTGATATGTAATCTATGATAAATTGTGAATTTGCATTATCATGAATAAATTACTTGTTTTTTAGTTTGGATTTGTAATTATACTGACCATGCTTTGCTATAACTGAGAACATAATGCAGTTAATAAATGGGAAATCAAATGGGATGGTAATGAGTTGCGATCATTGTATTAAATTTTATAAGATAATGAACGGTGGATTCAAGAGTATAATATAGTGGAATGTGTTCCATTTTTGTAAAGTCTTGCGCAAGTGTGCTTTCGAGCCCTAACATGACACGGGAGGTATTCTGGCTGCTTAACGGAAATGGGAGGCATAAGAGTGGCAATGAGGGTCTCACACATGGAGAGTATCCCTGGAAGCCCGTTCCCTTGGAGCAGACCGTGATGTCACCACTTAGGTATGTAACCAAGATGCGTGGGTATCATTGGTAATTGTACGGTAAGCGACGCACTGGTGGATATGCAGTAAGCGACACATTGGTATTGTATTAATCAAGGGGGAGTCATAATTGCCCGTGGCCAGTGTTAGTGGTTGGGTAGGAATGGCATCCGTGGGGAGTTGCCTGGAGCTAACTAAAATTGACTATTATTCATGAGAACTGAAATTTAATTATAAGCTCTGCTTACTTATTGCTTTTGTTGTATGTTATGATCATACCGTTATGTTACTTGTGTATTTGGAATGGGAAAAAAGTCGGGGTGTGTGTGTTTACTGGACATTCCAAGCTCATGGCGTTTTATGCCAAGTGAAGGCAAGTTTTACACCGAGAACGAAATCCCTAAAAGCTTTGCAAAACCATGGATGCCTTAGAGATTAGATTTTATATTTCCTGTATTTTGGATGAACTTTTTGTATCAAGGAACTGATCTGTATTTAAAGACTTGAAGAATTTTATCTATAACTATTATTAATATTTTCTTTTAGTGTAATTATTTGTATTTTGCGCTTAAAATGATGTGTATTCGCTAATTAAACTCCGGTGTATTGTTATATTATATTATCAAAATTTGAGGCGTCATAAAGAGTTTATTAATTTTAGAAAGTGAATAGTGGTGTAATGGATGTGTTAAGGGATAATGGAGGTATTAAGTGTGTTAAGAATCTATATATGTATATATGTATATATAATAAGTAAAATAACTAAATAAGTTAATTTAATCAAAAATTTTAAGTCCAAAATTAAATTTCAAGTCCAAAAAAAAAAAAAAAATCCTAACAAGTTAAAAAAAAAAATTGCCGTTGATTGGTCAACCGGTCGGACGTCCGGCCGGTCAACCGATAAGACCAAAAAAACGCCCATCCTCGCTAGCTAAAACGCTTGCTGCAGATAATAAACATATTAACATCTGACGCTAACACACACCACTAACACACACATTAACAACTCCATTGCAGCCTCAAACAACACCTTTAGCTAGCCAAAACTTGGCACTTGACACTAACACACAATTAGTGTATCCACCGTGGATACTCTTAAGCTTCCCTTAAGTACTAGTTTATTAGCTAAAATCAATCCATGTGTTTGTTTTTTTGAAGCTCTAAAGTCTAAACAAGTATATGAGAGTGTACTTTCTCAAATGTCCAGCACCAAATACCAAAACATCCCCAAACCTGAATAATTCTATTCCACTTTAGAGAATTTCAAACCTTCAGCAGATGAATAGAGAATTTCAAACATTTTAGCCCTTTTTTTATTTAGTTAACAAGCAGTCCAACAATGTGTTCAATAATATATCCTTTATGTCACTTTTCTTCAATCGGTCACAAGCATTTCATTACTATTTATACACATACATACTCAAACTCCACAGCCACAACACAACTCACCCATCATTCCCTTGAACACTCTTACTGAACCAGCCAAAATCCTCTCTCTATCTCTTTCTCAATCAAACAATTTTATGGCAGCGGAGCAGAAAGCAGAATATCCATTGGCACCAGCCAACGGTTTTGCCCGAAGCGATGAAGAGGCAATCACATCAGAGGCTGAAGAGCTTCGCCTCAAGAAACGCAAGCGTTTGACATTTTTTATTATCTTCACAGTGTCACAAATCGTTATGGGAATAGTGTTTGGTTTAACCATAATGAAAGTCAAAACTCCCAAGTTCAGGGTTCTGTCTGCCACGTTCGAGACCATTAATGTCACAAGCCCTTCATTTAACATTATTTTGTCTTTTTGTGAGTAAGTTATGTGAGAGGTAATGTGACTTAAAATGGGTTAAAAACTGGAAGCTGGCTTTCAACCAGCTTCCCAAAAGAGGCCACAATGGAAATATGGTCATTTTATTTTTGGGACAATTACCAGGAAAAAAAAGTTTTGAGTCATGTAATAAAAAAATCTTGAGTTTTTAGTTTTGTCGATTTAAATTCTAATCTTTTATATTTCTTTTCAATTTAAACCATTCGCCTATTTCTATTAAGCAAAACCAACAGAAAAAGAGAATTTTAATCATTAAATTCAATACAAGTATACATAAAATGTTTAAAATATACTTTTCATTAAGTTTAATAACTAAAATACTTATTTTTTTCATTGATTTTACTTAATAAAAATGGACAAATGATTTAGATTGAAAACAAATCAAAAATTTAGGATTTAAATTGACAAAATTATTATTTTATTTTTTTAGGGCAAAATGTCATATTACAATGTGGGTGTTTGGGAAGTTGCTATTTTAGTAGGCAATTTTAGTTTTAGGCTATTTTTGTAGGCTAAATTTTTTGTATTTTGGAAGATGATTGGATTTTTTTGTAATTAGATGTGACGTTTGTGAGAGTAAAGTGAAATGATTATGGGTTTGATGTTTGTCTTATTAGAGCAACTCCAACCATGCTCTTCATTTTTCGCTAGCTAAAGTACAAAAATAGTACACTCTTTATTTTATCTAATTGTTTTTAAGCTATTGTGCTCTCCAATCACACTCTTTATTTTAGTTAATCATTCAAACTAACTTAACCAATTTTTAAAACGAAAAATACTAATTGCTAATATTTTACTAATGTAAATTTGCAATAATATTTCGTTAACATGTTTAACAAATAATTATTTTTTTTTAATACAAATTCAACCATTAATAAGTGGCTGGCTGCCCAGGACCCAAAGCATATCCAAGAGAGATGACATTTTACTTGAAATAAAAATTCCACAATCGAGATTTTCCTTATATATTGTGCTAAACCGATACATGAAATTCTTGGTGATATTGAGAACCAATAACATTTTTGTGCTTAAAGTCTCCAAACTCCAACGGATTCTATTGATGTTTTGTTTCTCTTCTTTTAGTTGTGATGAATAAAAGACTTCCACAACAGAACAAGAAGTCCAAGGATTAATGCACACAAAGGACAATGGCCTTTCAAGGCTCAAGAAGATTAAAAGATTTGGAGAGCTTCAGAAAGGAACACCTGCGATTTATACATCTCAAGGAAGACATCACACACTAAACTCAAAGTCACCCAATGGAGACTGGCAACAAACAATAGAAAACCCAAAACCAACTAATGAGTACCTAGCAATTGGACGGTATCAAGTTTTACATTAACATTAGCAATATGGCAGCAACCAAGAAGCTAATAGGTTGAACACCAAAGCATATTTTAAAATTTGCAAGAAAGGATTTAACACTACCAGCAAGGATTTATATATTACTACATTTTTTCAATTATTAGAATTGCAAATTGAAACATTATGGTAGTGTTGATATGCATGTGACTTTATTATATTAAAAAATATCAGATTTGATATAACTATCACAGCTAATGAGAGTATAACCAACTAATGAGAGTATATGTGTACATATAACTACCACAGCAACTTACATAGCTTTCCAGATGTAATATGAGGACTAATCATAATGTAGTTAAGTCTTAGTTGGTTTCTAATCTAGTCACTAGTAGCAGGGGAGAAGAGTTTATTGTACTAGTATGGTGGCAGGAGATGGAAATTGAACATGTTTCTAGTTATGATCATTGGAAGCAACAGTTCAATTGTATTTTACACCTTTGCTGTATTTGCTTATCTATATTTATGTTATGTGCTGGAAATTGAACCATTTTAGTATTACCTTGCAGATAATTTTTTTAATATGTAAATGATGGATATTTGGTCCTTCTAATTCAAATTCCAAACTTGAAGTACCTGCATTTTACAATTTTACTTGGTATTTTATATGGCAAATGCTACAAATTCTGATAGTCTCATAAACACTCACAAGGTTAGGCCTAAACTAAATATGCAAATTGTTTTCTCTCTGAAGATCATTGAGAAGTGTCATGCACAAAAAATTAAAGGTTAGAAAAATGGTTGCTGACTATATAATGCAAATCTTTGTTTCTGTGGCATTTAAGCAAACACCATATGCTCAATTTTATCACCACCACCCAGAACAAACAAGCTCTTTAAACATATTAGCATCCTTTTTCTCTATACTAGTCATCTTCAATCTCCAAAGATTAACCAACTTGTGTATATATCCCAATAATAGCATACGATTCAGAGGCTCTAACGGGTTTTGGCTCTATGAAACCTACAAGGAAAGTTTGATTATACAGATGGCCCTAAATCCTTCTCCAGGATAAACAGCAATCATATTGGAGGGTGACACCACAAGCTCCAACAGCTCCATATATAACACTGATTTGTTACAAATTCCATATCTCAGATCTCTCACACTAATTTCTATTAGCTTATTTCAAACATATCAATTAGTTGTGGCAAAAATTGTGTAACCTCCCCAGACAAAAAACAAAGAGACCAAGGAGATTTGAGAGAGACAGAGAGATTGATCTGAGAGAGACAGATAGAGATTGATCTGAGAGAGAGCGAGTATACCTGAGATGGAAGACGGCGACGGAACGCAGGGAGTCGGCGACGGAAGGCGGTGACGCGAGGAGGCGAAAGGCCGGCGACGCAATATGCTGGTAATGGGCTGTGGAGGCTACGGGAAGAAGAATTTGTGGGAAATGATTTTGCGGGTTTCAATACAATTTGCAGAGGGCTCAGTCCGTGCTCTTCATATGTAGCCAGCGGAGCGGGGAAGACTGATGGTAAGAGCGTCTCCAAAGGGGTAGTTAGAGGAAGATTAGTATTTTAGTTCATATGGTCATGTTTTGATTCACGACACTAAGTAGGAGGTGTTAATAATTTTATTAAATTAGTATGGTATTAATTATATCACTCTTATCTCATTATTAATAATTCTATAAATTTGTTGGATTAACTATCTATTAGATTAATAATTCTAAACTAAAATGTCAAAATAAACCTAGGATGATTGGACTCACGAATTAATAACCTCAATTCTATGCTTGAATCTTTCCAATCAAACATGCCCATAGTCTAATTTCGAGTTTCAATGCATTGGTTGTTGGGCTAGTTACTTTAATATTTTTTTTTTTTTTTTTCCCCAGAGGCTCTCCAAACAATTATGTATGTATATATTTTAGATTTTTGTATATTTATGTCTTAGATTTGGGATTTTATATTATATATATACATATATATGTGTATGTAACAATTTTATATGTTCTTTCAATTTTGTTTGATGAATTACAGAATAACTTATTTTGTATTTTGTATTTTTTTCTCTCCTCATTATACAGGTTTTGTATATTTGTATGGGCAAATTTATTATTATTGCAAATTTATATTAGTAAAATATCAACAATTAATATTTTTTTATTTTAAAAATTAATTAAGTTTGTTTAAAGGGTGAATTACACTAATAGTCCTTATAGTTTAGGGTTTGTGTCACTTTGGTCCCTGATTTTTCAATTGTGACACATTTGATCTTAAATTTTGAATCTTGTTCCAAATAAGGACAATTGAAGATATCATTAGATTTTTTAAGGCAAAATCGTCAATTTAATAAAATATAAACTAATTAGACAAAAATAAATGTCAAACAAATATTTTTGAATTTTTAAAAATTATTTCTACCCATTAAAAATAAAATTATGTAAAATTGATAAATCTTTTAGACATTTTTTTTTTACTAAATTAATTTTTATTATGTGTTTAGATGATGATCATGTAAAATTAATTTTTAAAAATTAATAATGTAATTTTTATTAACTTTTATCAATTTTACATAATTTTATCATTAGCGGATAAAAATAATTTTTTAAAAATTAAAAATACTTTTTTGACATTTATTTTTGTCAAATTAGTTTATATTTTATTAAATTGACGATTTTGCTCTTGAAATTAAACAATGGTATCTTCAATTGTCCTTATTTGAAACAAGATTCAAAATTTAGGATCAAATATGTCACAATTGAAAAGTCAGGGACCAAAGTAATACAAGTCTCAAACTATAGGGACTGTTAGTGTAATTTGCCATAGTTTAAATGATTAGCTAAAATAAATAGTGTGGTTGGAGAACACAATAGTTAAAGTAATTAGGTAAAATAAATAGTATACTTTTTTTATACTTTAACTAGTGAAAAGTAGATAGTGTGGTTGGAGTTGCTAGCATCACAGTATGACTGGCTAAAAAAAACAGTAAAGTTTGTTATATAATAAAAAGTGATGAAAGTGGAATAAAAAATTGTATGTTAAGATACGTTAAGAGTGTAGAGATCTTAATTTTTGTAATTATCGTCAAATCCTTAATCTGAAATTTATTTTAATAAAGTCCTTAAATTTTTGTTTAATTGCGTTTTAAATCCTAAAACTGGGAAACATCGCGGATTAATTCGAGTAAACTCTAATTGATCCCGTAAATTAATAATCACCTTTAAAACCATATTATTTATTATTAGACCCTATCATTATATATTAATCACTCTAAAATCTTAATTCTCGATAACGCCGTTTTCGCTCGGTTTCTCGCCCTTCTTTGCACTTTAATTTAACGGGACCCGAATTTATTATTTTAACTATTTTCTAATATTAGTATACTAATAACATATATTAAGGCTTCATAAATTTAGACTTAGTCCCTATATACTTCTATTTTATTTCTATATATATATGCACACTTCTCTCCCCTCAATTTACACATTTTCAGCCATGCACTAGAGGAGTGAGAGAGAGTGATCTTGGAAAACAGAGAGAGAGAGAGAGAGAAGAGAAGAAGAAAAAGAAGAATTGTGTTGAGTCTTGTACAACAAAAGTAAACATACATCATCTCTTCTCTAATCTCTCAAGTTATTTTACCACTTGTTTTTCCCCTCCTAATACATGCTCTTTGTATATATATGTTGTAGTCTAGGCCTACACTCTTGTATAAATGTGTATTAATTAAGAAATGGTATGCTTCTCTTTCTTTCTTAAATTTCCAACAGCAAATCTTTTCCATCTCTTAAATTTATTTTCCTATCAAAACTCCATAAACTCAAAATCTGTTTTTATGGTGTAATATTTGGTATGTCTAGAATATGTGATAATTTTGGTAGGACCTAAGGATGTATTTTTATAACCTAAACAATTTTCTAAGTTTGTTACTTACAGAATCAGAAAAACAGTCAACTTTCTCTATTTTTTTAAAATTCCAGAAAAATAATCTTCAAAATGTTAATCTTGGTGTTATATTTTAACTAAAATTTGTTTGAACTCAAGAGAGTGACGGGTTTGAAAGAAAAACCGATTTGTGTAACGGTCAACGAATCTAGACAGATCTTGGTAATTCTGAATTATCTTAAAATCTAAAATACTTATCCTACTTTCGTAAATTGAGTTTGAAACTAGACTTGTTTATCTACAAACTCACATGAGGCCAGGTACTTAGGGCCAATAAAAGTATTTGTTTTATAATTATTTTCAAACTGGTTCAAATCTAGAAATTTAGAAACTTGTGTTAATATACTCTTATTTGGTTTGCAAGTCTTATATTCTATGTTTTTTGAATGTTTAAGTCTTGATATGCAATCTATGATAAATTGTGAATTTGCATTATCATGAATAAATTACTTGTTTTTTAGTTTGGATTCGTAATTATACTGACCATGCTTTGCTATAACTGAGAACATAATGCACTTAATAAATGAGAAATCAAATGAGATGGTAATGGGTTGCGATCATTGTATTAAATTTTATAAGATAATGAACGGTAGATTCAAGAGTATGATATAGTGGAATGTGTTCCATTTTTGTAAAGTCTTGCACAAGTGTGCTTTCGAGCCCTAACATGACACGGGAGGTATTCTGGCTGCTTAACGGAAATGGGAGACATAAGAGTGGCAATGAAGGTCTCACACAGAGAGAGTATCCCTGGAAGCCCGTTCCTTTGGGGCAGACCGTGATGTCACTACTCAGGTATGTAACCAAGATGCGTGGGAATCATTGGTAATTGTGCGGTAAGCGACGCACTGGTGGATATGCAGTAAGCGACGCATTGGTATTGTATTAATCAAGGGGGAGTCATAATTGCCCGTGGCCAGTGTTAGTGGTTGGGTAGGAATGGCATTCCGTAGAGAGTTGCCTGGAGCTAACTAAAATTGACTATTATTCATGAGAACTGAAATTTAATTATAAGCTCTGCTTAATTATTGCTTTTGTTGTATGTTATGATCGTACCGTTATGTTACTTGTGTATTTGGAATGAGAAAAAGGTCGAGGTGTGTGTGTTTACTGGACATTCCAAGCTCATGGCGTTTTATGCCAGGTGAAGGCAAGTTTTACATCGAGAACAAAATCCCTAAAAGCTTTGCAAAACCATGGATGTCTTAGAGATTAGATTTTATATTTCCTGTATTTTGGATGAACTTTTTGTATCAAGAAACTGATCTGTATTTAAAGACTTGAAGAATTTTATTTGTAACTATTATTAATATTTTCTTTTAGTGTAATTATTTGTATTTTGTGCTTAAAATGATGTGTATCCGCTAATTAAACCCCGGTGTATCGTTATATTATATTATATTTGGGGCGTCATAAAGAGTTTATTAATTTTAGAGAGTGAATAGTGGTGTAATGGATGTGTTAAGGGATAATGGAGGTATTAAAGTGTGTTAAGAATCTATATATGTATATATAATAAGTAAAATAACTAAATAAGTTAATTTAATCAAAAATTTTAAGTCCAAAATTAAATTTCAAGTCCAAAAAAAAAATCCCAACAAGTAAAAAAATAAAAAATAAAAAAATCAGTTGATCGCCCGAATGTCTGGCCGATCAACCGGTCAGACCCAAATTTTTTTTTTTTTTTTTTTCCCTTTTTCTTTAAGCCAGACATCGGGGAGGACTTCCCCAGGTATACATCTCTCTCTTCCTTCGCTAGCTAAAATACTGACCACAGTTAACACAAATTAACAGCTGACACTAACACACTCACTAACACACCCATTGCAGCACCCAATAGTGTTTTTGGCTGACCAAAAACTAACACCTGGCACTAACACACTCACCAACGGATCCATTGTGAATGCTCTAAAGTAGCTAGCCTTTTAACCAGCTCGTTAGAGGGCCTAAAATGTATTATGGTTGGCTAAAATACCTAATAAGCCTATTTTAGCCAAATAATTTATTTCTAAGTCAATAACTAGTATTTACAACTGTGGTAAATTCAATTGGGTGTTTTCATCTCATTTTCGTGTTTGGTTGAAATCCAAGAAAATATTTTTTAGGAAAAAATATCAATTTGATTATCAAAAACATTGCAAGTGTTTCAGTACTTTCAGAGCAGAGACATGAAGGAGGAGGAGAGGAGGTAAGGAAGATAACCTGGAGAAGAGAGACGGGCCAGAACGAACCGAAATTAGGGTTTCAATGACGTGAAGGTGGTAGAGGAAGAGGGTTCTTGAAATTAGGGTTCACACACTCCCTCTTGATTTTGCACTCTATTTGACAACTTTGGCAGCCTGTCAATGAATCGGGTTTCACCCGAATTTGACTTGAATGATTTGATTAGTTTATTTTTAACTGAATTTGATTATCTATCTCAGTTGAAACCTATATAACCCGATTTCAAATAGATTGGATTTTTCGATCCGATTGTATACCCGAATCAGATTTATTTTGTGGTATTAATTTTTAAGGCAAATTACACTAACCGTTCCTATATTTTGTGACTCGTGTCACTCTAGTCCTTGACTTTTCAGTTGTGACACATTTGATCCTAAATGTTAAATCTTGTTCCAAATAAGAACAATTAAAGACTATTGTTCAATTTCAATAACAAAGTCGTCAATTTGATAAAATATAAACTAATTTGACAAAAATAAATGTCAAAAAAAATATTTTAAAATTTTAAAAAATTATTTCTACCCACCAAAGATAAAATTATATAAAATTGATAAACATTTTATGTATTTATTTATTTTACCAAATTAATTTTTATTATGTGTTTAGATGATGATTATGTTTGGTTATTAACCTATTTTATTACTAAAAATACTACTAAAATAAATCTAAATGAACTTCATGATTGTGAGGGTCAGAGGCTACAAGTTAGGTCTGGTTTCAAACTAATAATTTAACCAACAATGTCCCAAATGCACAATCTGGGTAGTGAAAGAACAAGTTGAACCAATGAAGAATTTAGATCATTCACATTTGGATCATAAATTTGGATAAAAAGGGCAAAAAAGAAATATATGAAAAAAAAAAAAAAAAACTTTTATTTCTTCAAATTTACCTCATATTTTTCTCGTCTTTCCAAATTTCTATCCAAAAACTATAATGACTAATTGAATATGCCCAAACATGGGAGAAGCAAGCCGGCATTTTAAAATGCTGCCTCTCCAATATAGGCACCGGAGTAAGTCTCACAAAACGCCAATAAAAATGTGGCTAAAAGTCTCGCAATAAAAAATTTAATGAAAAAATAACACTCCAATAATTTATTATATAGTAAAGTCATTCAAACTAAATTTTTATATAACAACAAAAAAATCATGTATCTTTATTTTTTTTAGATGGTGAGTTTGAAGTTTTTGCCTTGTTCAGTGTTCTGTTGCAAACACCAGAAATTCAAATTAACCAAACATGATTTTTATTTTATTACAAGGAACAAATGAAAGAACAAATAAATAAGAATACACAAACATGGTTCAAGGTAGTATTCAACTCCTTGAAACAAAGATGAGTTCCTACTCATTTTCATCTTCGACCTCTGCTTCCACTTCACCATTTGTGTGCCTATCAATTATGAATTTAATATTTAGATTCATAATAAAATATACCATATTAATTATTACCAACAAACACAAGTCAAGCGAGCAAAACAGTGGTGGGCACACTAGATGTCCAGTTGAGCATATAAAACTAAAGGCAGATTTCTCTCCAGTCAACTGGACATTTATTCGAGTTGTTGTGAGGGAGAGATTAGGTCCCACAGTAGGCCCACTAGAGGTCTGCATAGGGTTACAAGATGATGGATGGAAAATATGATTTTGAAAATAGACAATTTTTTATTTAGATAGTAAAGTGGACCAATAGTGGACCTTATTGGCCTAATTACACCATCCCATCCATCCAAGCGGACTGGAGACGAGCATGATTCCTCCTATTTTGTCCCAATTTATGAGGTTCCAAAAATTCTATCATTGCAGTAAACAAGAGAAGTTGTGGATTAGTATTCTTAACAATTACCGAAAGAATATTGCTATTCAGACCCAAAAATTAAACCCACTTTCTCAACCCAATGATGTAACACTATTAAACTACTTAACTATTTAAGTCAACTCTCTCTCATTTATTCTCCAATCATCCACCAATCATCTTGTTGACACATTACTGGATTTAGAAAGTGGGGGCTTGTATATAACAAAAATATACAGATGATTACAGTTGAATTCGAGAGAAAGAAAAGCATACCATACAGATGCAGTATTCAAGCCTTCTGATATGTGGGTATAGGCACTCCCGAATCATCTGTCAGGTTTTTGTAAGCATTTTGCAACCTTTGAGTCACTGGTCCCACTTTTCCATCACCAATTACGCGCCCATCAATCTTCACAACCTGGTAAAGAAAGTACCAACAATTGTAGAACAATTATATTATGAAAAAGCAACCTTACAACATACTATTAGCCCCCACCCCCCCAAAAAAAAATCTAGTTGTCGTAAACTGTTTGTTAGATTGCTGCAATTTATTTATTTTTGGGTGGAGCAGCAAGTTGGCATTCAATCAAGGTTGGATTTGTATCGGCACATCAAAACAAGAAAAAATAGTGACACTAACATGTTAGTTGGATTTGCATCAGCATATCAAAACAAGAAAAAAATAATGGCCCTAACATTGAGCAACCTGGGTTGCAACGTGGCACCTGTAAATTAGTACATCACAACTTCAGCAGAAGGAACATACCGGGCTGAGTTCTCCCATTGTTCCCGTTGTCCAGACCTGCAGTGAAAACACACATGCTCTTAAAATGCCAAAAGAAAATCTGACCAAACAAAAACATCGGGCAATTTTCCCCAAAACAATGAGACATTTACAATTACATGTTTAGTTGATATTTTCTGAATATATACAACAAAGAATATCTTGAAGAACATAAAAGTGAACCTCGTCTGCAGTATGAAACTCTGACAGACTAATACGTCGCTGCTCTAAAATGATATTTTCCTTTACCACAAGGTCCATGACCTGTAAACATACATATTCATTACCATCAAACATCTCATTGCAGTAATCACCAAATAAACAGCTATGGGTCAATCACGTATTTGAAAACCAATCACCCCAATAGCTTAAGCTGGTAAGCTGGTAAGCAAGCTTTCACACCCTTCTCTTCAATTTTTTAAGGTGGTAAGCAGGCATATGGGTCTGTTCTCTTTCAATTTTTTTGAGTGAAAAAAAATTAGAAGTTAGAACAGCAAAACAAAAGAACGGAGAAGATGATACTTCTATGCACAACTCGTATCTCGTTTCATACGATGGAAGAACACATATTTGGATTTATACATGGAAAAGGGTTTGAACTTAGAATGCGTTTGGTTTGGCTCCAAATAGACACAAACTTGATATTGAAATCTTTTCAATGGGATTAGCTCATGAAGAGTTAAAAGGCTAACTGACATGCATTCAGTTCAAAGAGGCACCCAAAATTGTACTGCTGGAGGATTTCAACTCTCTAACAGAAGGTCAACACTCATGGCAAGAAAACACAAAGATGGAAACAAAGAAGCTTTTTAATCATCACGCAGAACAAAAGTGCATTTTAAGGAGGGGAGTTCAAGAAACTTACAGTTGCTCGAGTTACGCCAGGAAGACAGCTATCAACATGAGGTGTCGCAACATGGCCTCTCTTCACTAAGAACTGCGTTAAAGAGAAACAATATTCACTCTCAAGATGCACATGCAATATCTTCAATGAAAATACTCTGCAATGATGAGAAAAATGCTATGCCTTTGGAACTAGCAAACAGCCATGGATTGGTCTACCAACAGTATGGTAACATACTCTGCAATGATGAGAAAAATGCTATGCCTTTGGAACTAGCAAACAGCCATGGATTGGTCTACCAACAGTATGGTAACACCATTGACATAAGTATAGTCAGGTCGGATCAACAATAATGTGTTCATTGGAAATTTTGATAACTACATTTGTAGTTGAATGCATCAGCAAAACAATCCACTCTTAATACTCTTTCCTCACATTTTCAATTAATATATATATATATATATTTAATATGACAAGTAGCAATCCTGACTGGGCCCCTTGGTGAGTGCCTCCTTCCAATTGTTGGTATCTCATCCATATGGATTGCCTAAAAGCAATTTAAGACTTCCCTCATTTATTGATAAACAATGGCAATGGAAAATGAGCAGAAGCATGATTTGTTGTCGGTGTGTGATTTGTAGATTTTGGTGATGTAGGGCATGTTTGGTTTATCTCTCAAAACATGTTTTTGGAGAAAAAATTCCAAAAACATGTTTGTTTGAAATTTTTTTAAAAAAAATTCCAAAATCACTTTTCTCTCTATTACACATCAATCAATCACTTTTTCTCTCTCCTCTCTACTTCCTAATCACTTTTTCTCTCACACCCATCTATTCAACTATAAAAAAAATATCAAATCATCCCAAACTCCAAAATTATTTTCAAAATATACAACCAAACAAATTTTCAAATTTTCTAGACTCTCTCCAAGAAAATTATTTTTGAAATAATATCTCAAAACACAAACCAAACAAGGCCGTAGTCTTTCTTTGCTTCTTCTTGTAGAGGATGTCTTATCCTCATTGCATCTTTTTGATTAATCATTAAAGTTTGCAGTTGATCAAAAAAAACAAAAAAAGAGCAGAAGCATGGCTTACAATGTTTGTAGCATTTGTTTCAGACACATAACCTTCCTTATCAAGCATTATGGCATCATCAGCATTTGCATTATTTGCTTCTATCTGCACCAACACGAAAAGTTCAATTCATCTTAGACAAATTCAGAAAGAGCACACTTTACAAATTAGATGATATTACAATAATGGATTCTACTACGCTAGTAGACATGAAATATAGCAGCCGCGTGATCATGAATTTGATAGCCCAACTCTAAACGACTTAAGTAATAAATTATCAGATCATCAAAAACAAATAGTAAGTCCATAAATTAGTTAGCTCCGTAAGATGAAAGAAATTCTTCATTAGAAAAATTCCGCAAAAGCAGAAACCTGACTTTATCTTTTATGATTGATTAGCTGTAACCTACTTGCTCTGAAAATGTACTTCCTCACATACCAAGTGAAGAGAAGAAGCATCATCAACACCACACGACGTATCATTTCTGCAATACAAACATCATCTTGTATTTCTAGACATTTGAATAAAGCCATACCTTCGCTAGTATGTTGTTGAGGAGGTTGTTGTGGTGAATTTTGGAATCCAAATTCTGGCAAAGACCCCAAAAAAAATCATGTTATTTCATTGGAAAAGGAAGGTATCAACCACCAGCAATCATTGGTTGTAACTAAATTATACTGCATCGACAAATTATTTTGTTAATTTAGGTTGAAAAAGAGCTTCTTTTCGTTCATTACTAGAGAATTGACATAACTCGTTGACATAATATACTAAAGCCAAAATAATTCTATTCATGTGGAGAAAGTTCCAGCTTCAGGTGTCATCTTTGAAAACATTAAATCAAAGGAAGAACAGGCTTACCAAATATATATAAATATAAACACATACATTTTTAAAGGCAAAGGCTGATTATTTGAAGCAAAAATACATTTGCATTTCAGTAATAATTCATAGCAAGATCACTTGCTAATACAAATTTCCTCTGGCATGCATGAGACAGGCAACTGAAAAGAACGGGGAAAATGTTCTTTCTGGCAACCTTCTTGATGTACTTCAAGTAGAGTTCTAACATGGGTTCCTAGCCCCTAGGAATAAGCTTAAGAATGCCCCTGGTGAACCAGACAACCATAAACAGAGCCAACAGTAGAATTTGAAAGCTTGGACACAACCCGAATCCAGAATAGAGATTTTTTTTTAGGTCCGTAGTCCAGAATAGTGCTCAGATATTATGAATTACAGTTTCAGAGTAAAACTTTTGGCCCAAGGTTTAACAATCCATCCATATAGATTCTAAAATACCAAATAAAGCTGGGAGAATCCTTCAATTTTTGGTCACTTTAAAGAAAAGAAAGCAACAAGGTTCTTCCTATTAGAAATTAGCAACTGAATACAATATAAACATCACAAATCTTACATTTGGTGAATTACGACGTGTAGTTGCAGTCACCAAAGTTATACCCTTGGTATTGTCATAGACAGGTGGCTTCCATTCAGCAAGAACTGCGTTTTTACAAAAGAAGAAACAACAGTAGCATAAGAAAGTCGATTATTATAGAATTTATCAAAAAAAAGAAAGTCAATTATTATAGCACATAAGAAATTAATGGGAAGAAAGAAAAAGGCAAATGTAGGGCTCTACTTCCAACAAGGATAAAAGAATATACAGCAGAAGAAACATGTAAATCGCTAATTATTCATGTTTTGGACAACATTCTCATTACAAGATATGAAAGTTCACTACCAGCTCTGGCTGGGATGATAGTCTTTCGTATAATGTTAGTGCATAATAATTTGTCAAGTCATACCTGTGTAACTATGTCTTACATTTTATAAAGAATGTCGTTGAACTTGCCAGTTTTATTCATTGTGTTAAGGAAGTAAGACAAAAGGTAGAAGAGTAGTCTTAATGTTACCAATTAAGGTGCATCCATAACGATTGAAAGCTGGGCTCATTCCTGAAGTAACCTGAGAAAAATAAATATAAATATAAATATATTGCAATAAGTTAACCAACGTATATATGTATTTTATATTGACAAAAAGCATTCATCACACTAAAACCATCCATTGATGAGCCATCTAGCTCATTCGGCAGCAAACTGATTTATCAGCAATATAAGCTAATTTGGTAGAAAACAAATACATCACCAAAGAATTATGCATGATCTTATCAATTCCTAGCATCAGAATGGTGGTTTAGTTATGACTTAACAGCAACACACAAATAGACCCACACAAAGGAACAACCAACTGATTTACTTCAAACTATTCTCTAGTAGTGCGTGTCATTTCACCTCATTCTCTCCTGTATGATTCCATACTTAGTAGTAAAATCTAACTAGGATTTCAAAGTTTCCTCATTACATAAAGTGTGAGAGAAACAGCGGGATAGGAAATGTCAAAACCTTCTTCCCACGCGTCAAACTGAGCCGGATGTGCACATTATGGAACATTCCATTCGTAATAAGGGTTTTAAATATGGCCTCCTTAATCTGCATTTTGTTGCATACAGTTCCATGTTAGGACAACAAACAAAACAACTTCTCAAACTCTAGGCACCAAAACAATATAACATGCACATTGATAATACTCGAATTGTCTTTAGACCCTCACCTCTTCACGAGATGGTACGTTATTGAAAGCCAGAGCTTTTGCTGAATCAAACAATCTGGTTAATATAAAATTCAGTTATTGTATTGCTTGTGGTATTAAAAATGACAGAGCCAAAAGTATTATTTTGAAAAAAATGAATAACTTGTTCTTCACAAACCAAAGCACAATGAAACTACAATGAGGAGAAACAAAACTTATCATTCCATTAATTGTGCCAAAAAAAATAAATTTAAATTTAAATTTACATAATTATTTTCACACCTATCCAAATCAAATACTTTTCCAAGGCAACATGCCATTTCAAATCATCAAGAATGATAGGATATAACTGAAAAAAGGTATTTCTGTACTAAATTCATATCTTGCATTATGAACTTTCTGAATTTTGTTTTCATAACTGATACTTTTCACACATGATCATGAATTATAATTTGTTTCTTAACATTGAGAGTCACTTATGAAAGTACATCATCCACATAAGATAATTGGATAGCTTTCAACCACTAGGAACGTGTGCCCAGGGCTTATGCCTGCACCAAGGCTTAATTTTTGTCAAGCAAAATGCTTTACTTTCACTAACCTATCTAAATGCTCCTCAAGCTTAAATATCTTGCCATCGTAAATTCGAAGCCCCTCCCACACTGAATCACCACCTTGAACAACTGAATCAAACACTGAAACCTGTAAAAGTTTATCAAGTAAGCAACGAGAATTTGAAAAACGGTGCAAAAATATATATATATATAAAAGAGGTGAGAGTTCAATTATGTTCAAAGCTTTCCAAAATAGGTATCCTTATGTGATTGATATAATACCTTCGCACTGTCACGGGGTACAATCTCATCACCAACCCAAACAAGCAGCTTCTCATTAGCAGGAACAGGAAGATTGGGACGAGGTAGTTGGGGTTTCAGCAAAGAAATCCCCTTTGCATGGCGCCTAAGCATGTTGTAGAAAGGTAAACTTTGCTCCAACAAGTCATACAAAGAGGACGGAAATGGCTGAAAATGAAAACAAAATTTTTTAAGCTGGGCCAAGTTCTGTTATTTTAACATCTAAAATTTCACATAGAAAGTGTCCCCATGGAAAGTGAAGTGCTCCCGTACAAAGTGTGCATGATTGTGTCTACATGTATATGCACATATAAATATATATATACATATATGAGGAGAGAGGGGGTTATTCGCAGATGAAGTGTCCACAAAGCTCTTCTATGATGCATTCCTCTACGCATGCCATTCAATTTTTAGCAATTCTTTATCCTATAATTATGATACTCAACTTTCAGTTTCATACTTATCATGATCATGACACTTTTTAGTTTACGATGTTATATATTAAATTATCTTATGGACAGATATAGAAAACAAAGTTACTGCAGTTCCTGTGTGTGTGTGTGTGTGTGTGTGTGTGTCATAATGAGATACATAATGAGAGGGGAATTTGTGCCAAACAAATGGGCCAACCTAAATTTGATGTGGGCCTTTGACAGTGCAACCGAGGTAACATGAAATGGGCATTGGGCCAAGCTGAATGAGCTTGGACTATGGGCCGAGATAAGCCTACATAGACTGGGAAAAGGGTCTCGACCAAGCTAAGTATGCGCAATGGAGAATGACTGGGCTAAGATGATAAGGGCGACCTTGACCGAGTTGAGAATCTTAGTCAAGGCGAAGGGCCGCACGGAGTTCGTCCGAGCAACGAAGTAACGACACTTAACTGAGCAGAATACAGTGAACCGTGCTATTAGAATTCTTCGGGAGCCAACCGGCCAAAGCTAGCTCGGACATGAAGCCTCTTGGGCTTAACCGATTGAAATTAGCCCAGTTGAAGATAGCTCGGTGGACATATACTACGTGGCCCAATTGGAGTGCGAGGAGGAAAACCCACCAATAGCACATGTCAATACCGTTTGGTTGATTTGTCAATGCTGTTTGGCAGTATTGACGCGCATACATGTAAGGAAAGGAAATGGTAGCACATCCATGCGTCTAGCAAAGGACGAGTGAGGTAGTGCACACAAGATCTTGGAAGGCAAGGGAACAGTCTATAAAAGACACGTGACTCCACCAAGCAAAAGGTATGCAATTTCTTACACTAAACTCTCCTTCACTTCCTTCTTTCCAAGGGTGCTAACTAGACCGTCAGAGGGGTTTCCAGCAACACACCCGCCAAGTAGCTCACCTAAGTTGTGCTTTCAAGTAGTACGACGCCGTTCGGAGCAACGCAAAGCTTGGTCACAAGGAGTACAGAAATAAAGAATATTTACTCCCCGTACATATAATAACAACAATCCAGCCCAACTTGGTTAGGCTTCTACCACCTAACTTTCCAAAAGTAATCAGGCACAAAGTGTGATGAGAACAGAACAAACAGGGAATCTAATATGGCAATGACGGTCTAAACTCAAAAATCATAGCAACTCTACTACAGAAGAAGATTTCATGTTTCTACCACAAAACTACTATCACCATGTATAAATAACACTATATCACAACAAATGCAAATCAAAATTTGAAAGAATCTTCATCAACCCTGTATGTCATTCAAGAAACATTTATGTTTCAAGATTTAGGGGGGCTTTGGTAAAGTTTACAATTTACTGTTTTTTGTTTACAAAAAACATGAAGCATTTTATGTTTATTTTTACTAAAAACAAAAACAAGCAAGGGAGTGGCCAGAGGGGGTCGCTGAAGGTGGTTTCTAGTAGTCGGAAGTGGTGGGGACTTGCCAAAGGTTGTTGGAGACAGCTGGAGATGACTCACTGGAGGTGATTTCCAACAGCTGGATGTAGTTGAAAAGGGAGGAGGGAGTGAAAAATTGCATACAATACAAGGGAAAACAACTATTTTTTGTTTCATATAATTTAGTAAATTTTAAAAACTAATCCCAATTTTTTTGGGGAAACAAAAATAGCAAATTTTTGCTTCTAGTTTTCAAAATTTTGTAAACATAAACATAAAAACAGTAAACATTACCAAAACGGGCCCAAATATTCATTTTATTTTGATGTTTGAAACATGGAATTCTTTTCAAATAAATTTTGGCATTGTGAGAAGACAGAGATATTTCAGAATAAGTCTTTTAGAAGTCCAGCATATTTATAGTATAGAATCAAATACCACTTAATAATGTCTAACACTATTTAAAAAGGATGGTCATCATCCGATTTTGTTCATCAAGATTTATAATTTTTTTTTTAAAAAAAAAAATTGTAGAGATATTTCCTTTTCAATGAGATTTGTAAGAAAACTCTTGTTTTTCATTGTGCGTAATTTGCACTCATGTTCTTAACAAAACATGATGGTAAAACTACATACCGCAGGATACTTCCTTGCTCGTTTGAATCCTGTTGATTTATGTGCACTTCCATACCACCACGGAGCCCAAATGCCATCAACTGATTTTGGACCAGCTTGCCATCTGGAAACATTTGATTCAAATTTGTCATTTCAACATCAACACCAAGATTTAGAGGAAGATACAACAAAGGTTGGTTGCAAATTCAGAAATAAGGCTCTTGGTACTGGAAGTAAATAATCATAGCTGGTGCTTAACATGATCTATGCTTATGAAACACATTCATATCAAATTTGTATACTGCAAACAACTCCAGTGAGTTGAAGAAGTGAAAGGCAAGGATGTCGTTTTGGGAAGTCGAGAAACCAGATCTAGCTATTTACTTGGGGAAATTTGAAGTAGTACTTCAAAACATTAGAAGTAGGGAGAGAGGGGGGTTGTCACAATTGATAAGTCATTTGTAGAACTTATTTTTTAATTTGAAAGGGAAGCCCTGCCAGCCTCCATGACAATCTGGCACTGTTTATCACCTTCTTCCCATTATTAAAGAACAAGTACATTACAAACTTTTAGGTTTTGAAGGCTAGAAAGTTTTAAATGCACATGACATAAGAAAGCATATTCAGTATTCTCTATAAAAAGTGATATGATGCAGCCAATTTGAATAGAAGAGAGTTGCTTTTGATCAATGAATATAGACAACTGCACTATAAGAAAAAGACTAGTGCAATGCAGAATGAAGCCTCTATTGTGAGTTTGAAGAATAAAAGCCTTACGCTGTTGCATTAACACTCTTAATCCAATACATTGTATAATTAAAACAAGTTAAATAGTAAACTGACACTAATGAAATAACCACCAAAACTAAAAATTCGTCTTCACAGCTTCAAGTCTATAATAGCAACAGGAAGGCCAAAAAGAACCACAGATGAAACTGCAAAGAGGATATAACGCCTTATGAGTTAACTAAAGACATACTCCTGGTGCAATAGGTTTTGCATAGCCACCCCATTTTAAGTGCAAATATGTCTGTCTGAAATAAAATAACTTACAGATTCTGCTAGGAGAAAGCAAGTAAATGATGTTGGTTGAACGCAACTAATAAATTTTTCCGCACGCTTTCTCATGAAATAAAAAATAGCATTACCGACATGAATATCATACAGGCTAAATGACTAATAAAGTTTCAAATTAAATAGCTTTGGCATACTTCAGCATAGCAGGTTGAAACGGAATATCCAAGTCTTCACAAAGCTGACGTAAAGTAGCCTGAACATGAGCCAGAAGGATAAACTTTTATTAGTAAAACCAATGAATAAATAGAAAAATAAATTCTGCAACTTTTTACAAAATGAAGTACTTTGAATAAGGCAAAGTAGAACAAATGAACAAGTTAATCCTTTGCACAAGGCAAAGTACAACTAATGCAAACTAATCATCTAAAAAGGTTGTTTGGGCTAAGAGAAATATATGCATAAACAAGATATCCATGTCTAGCCTCAAATATTGGATTAGTCTAAAGGTTTGTCCACCTCCTAGGAGCCAGAACCTTCTTCTCAAGCATCATCTTTGACACAATTTTAAATGGCAAAAGTAAAACTGAAATGAAGTCTTACAAATATTATTCATCATTAATGATAACCCAAAGGCGCTTTAGAATTAAGCAAACCAGGAAGTAACCTGACTAACTATTCAACAAATTGCTTCACCATACTGTGTCACAGACTTTCAAACAGTTGAATGTACATTATGTTATTCTGTGTTACAAGAACGTAGGTGCATTAGAAGTTTGAGGAAAGAAATATAAGAAGCACAAAAGTTTGAAAATCAAGACAGTTTAAAGACAAGGCAACTAAGGACCTTGTATTACCTATTTAACAATTGGCCAAATCACTCTTTATGTTTATATTATGTTTGGATATCGCTGGTCATTCTATATGTTTTTTATTAGTCAAAGATGAGGCCCACTTGGGATCTTGTATCTTTATATATGGGTTAATTAGGTTAATATGGGTTTTGCCAGTCAAAGTCTCTTAATTGCAACACATGGAATCCGAGTACTAATCAAGTTAAAGTTATTTGTAAGTATATATATGTAACTTTGCAATTCTTTCCATTCAAGAAAAATCAGTATGAAAATATCCGAGCATCGCTTAAAGAGCTCTTGGGATTGTATAAATCATGATACAATTCTAGGTATTTAAATATGATCACTATCTGATTCGTCTATTATCTTCTTCTCTTTAATTTCTGCTTTTTTTTTCTTTTTCTTCATAAGCTTTCAAATTCCACAACCAGATCCAATTCACCCCTTTCCCAATCCCTTGCCTACTCCAATTAGTCAACCCTAGCACCCAATAGACCAAATTACCTATAGCTCCCTTACACATGTACTGTTCACAGAGCAGGAACTGACAAAACATTCCTCTTTTTGCCCAAGTACAGCCTCAAACAGTAACCACAGTCCTAAATCCATACTAAACTTTGCAACTCCGTATTCTTGTCAAACCTTTCACCAAACTATTTGTAATATCAACCTCTAAAGAAATACGTAAATCACTTTAGGCTAAAAAGCGGACACTTCTGACATTTCTAAGAAGGTTGTGTGTCCAAGTCGAACACTGACACTCTTCAGGCACTTCCTAACACTTGTTGGAAACTTTCCAACACGTGTTAGACATTGTTCCAAACTTTAACTATTATTTTTTTTAATTTTTTACATGAACCACTTCGGACACTTGAGGATACACATATCCATTGCTTAGACATACATAAAACTAATTATAAGTTTGGACAGATTAACTTAGAATGTAATGATAAAAGATAAACAATATAGATTTATAGGCATAGTGTTATGTTGGATTTATTTTATTTATCTTTGAATCAAAAATTCATACGAATATATAAAACTATCTATTATGTGTGTCCCCCATGTATTGTGTCCTACATTTTTTTAAAATTGTAGTGTCGGTGTGTCCATGTCCATAAACATCCATTGTGGAGATATAGATTGAAGAAGGGTATCCTCCATACTAGCCTCCATTGTTCCATTGCTCTTCATGTTGCATCAAAGACATCAGCCGCCAAGGAATAAGATGAACCAACAATCAACAATGTGGAGGGAGGAAAATGCACTTAAAATTGGAAAAGAAAAGTCTGTATTGATTACTTCTTCTTTTCTCTATTGCACTAAGATAGTTTGTGGATATCTAAACTGAATATTCATGTTAAGGTTTACATTATTACGACCCTTTCAATAGAATTTAATATCAAAACTAGCACACATTCTTTCCAGGAGCAGCATAGAATCCCATGCTTTATGTAGCTGGAAAAGGAAAAAAGATAAAACACGAAAAAGAAAACACTTCAAGCTTATCAGGCTAATTCAAAAAGATCTAGGAACCTCGGGATTTTCTTGAAGTTCTGATGCATCAATGACTGCTGGGGGCTTTCCCAATTCACAAAGCTCACTGTATATGGAGACCAATTCTCCCAATCCTAGCTCGAGAAACGATGGGGGCACGACCTTGTCAAAAGATGGCTGACAACATTCAACAGATTAAAATTAAGTCATGGAAATGATGAAAATCAAAACCAATATATTAATATAGATAGTCAACAGGATACGGAATTAATATATTTATAAAATTTTCAAAAATAGATAATTTACAGGAAATGATACAATATAAAGGAAAAACTATTTAAGGGGCCTATCATCTAAGATAAATGACAAATAGAGGTTACAAAAACAACTTACCAAAATACTAAGTGGATTTCGTATTAATATGAAGTGCTTTCCATTTTTTATCAAATCATCAGACAAACCAGGTACACGTTGTTTTGAGATATGCTGTAAAGAGGAAAAATGAGAACAAGTTTGTGAAGTGATATAGTTTGAAAGTGAATCAGTTCCTGCACAACAGATTGGCATGTGGAAATGACTGACGCTTTCTGCATGCAACCAGTAAAATAAAATCTTGGGATTAGCTGAACCACATATAATTTTACTGAAACCAACCATAACTGAGACCAATGAAAGCTCACCAAAGTTCAGAAAAACTCAGGATTTTATTTACTAACAAATTTTGTGAACATATTACACTTTCAGAATTTATAAGATTAAGATGCTGTGGTAGTATTATGATTGATTTATAAATCATGAACTCAAGGAAATTTATATGACCAGTTATCAATCTTTATCCAAATATGCACACGTTAATGTACCTTTCGGGAAATACAATTTAGAAACATAAGAGTTAAAACACTGTGTATTTACTTCAATTGGTGATCCCCAAAAGTGTATCTAATAGACTGTAATTTGGCTGACTTTTTTTAGGCGTCATACTTTAGTAATAATAAAGGGATTCAAATGATCAGAAATTTGCTAACATAAGAGACTGAGTTACAGCTCCATCAAAGGCTAGTCCCGAAAATTCAGAAAATATTGAAACAAGTTCAGGAACATAGGCATTTTGGAGTTGCTTTACTCTTCATCAATTTTAGAAGGAAACGATAGTAGGCATAGGTGGAACCTGAATACAAAGAAAATTAACTACGCAGTTCATTCACAGAGAGGAGTATTTGACCTTCTCAAAATCCAAGTTAAATTCTGTCAGGAGATCAATGCTGGATTTTTCCATTTCTCTGCTCAGAAGAATTCTATCAGGCATGTTTTGTCTCTGCTCAAAGAATCAGTAAGTCCTCCACTTTAGCACTGCAGAGTCTCTTCCACTATTTTGTGATTTTTGTCCTTTTATCTGGCTCGTTTAAGGTTGTTCATTGGGAGTTACATGGTCCAGTAGTATTTTCTTTAGCAATTTTGAAGAAAATAATAATAATAATTTAACTTGCTTTTAGTAAATTAATATTAACTTATTAAAAATAATATTTTTTAGATAACAATATGGTACTTCTATTTTATTTTTCTCTGTTTTTTGACAAATATCTACTTGTCTAGTCAAGTATTAAGTATCTTGTGTTGTTGATTTAGACATACTTTCACCCGTTAAAGTTTAAAGTTTTCTACTATAGACAAGTTCTTTGAAAACTTAAAAGTAGTAATTAAATATTTAAACTAAAATGGTTAGTTACGAAAATATTTTATACATATTTTAACTCCACTCTGCTTTTTATATACATTAAGTACTGAGGATTATACAATTTCTATGCTTTTTACCTTTCAAAGAACCTTACTTTTGTAATTTTAAGGACTATACACTGTTTGGTGTCTTGTTCTCACAAGATATTTGTGTTTGCTATAACTATATTTATTTTTCTGCCTATTTTTATAGATGTTAAACACTCAATTCATATCCCAATTTGACAACTATGGAAATGATATTTACAACTAAGATTTTTTCCACATACTTTCATCATATTCTTTTCCTCATTGTTTTCCATGTTAACAACACAAAGACTGATGATTTCCCTTGCATTTTCTTTTCCTTTTCCTCAAAAAATTGATGAACCAAACAGAGGATTAGTAATCTTATCCGAGGATGGACAATCATGAATAATTCTGCAGATTGACAAAATTATTCCAAAGCATGATTTTACTAAAGAAGAAAAATAGCACAGAACTTTGTAATAGGTCATGAAACATGAGCGATCTTGAGTAATTGATAGAAAAGCTTATGGTTACCTTACAGAACCGATATTTATTTTCTCCTGGGCCAAAAATGATATCTTTCACAACTTTATTCCCATCAGATTCCTATTCATGTCATACAATCAACTCCAACAATATGAGATACAAAGATAATGAGAAAAGTACATAGTCTAATGTCAAATAAAAATAATAAAAACAGCAGTGATAAGCAAATATATAAAATATCAAAACAAAATATGTACCAATAATAGATAATACAAGCCTAACAGATACAAAACAAACCCCTATTTAGACCTTCCACTAGTTCTTTTGATCACCAGTGGTCTGAATGAACTTGATGTGGAAATTTAGTAATTTTCTTCATTAAAGAAAATTCATTTGTTCAGTGTCATAGGCCTGCCAATTTAAACTGGAAATTTTCCTCTTATCAAATAATGTCACTAATAAAATGATATTACTTTCTTGCAAGAGTTCAAAAACATTAAACTAAAGCTACTCTCAACATATAGGTGATTAGAAAACAAACAATCTCATTGTATAACCTGAGTAGAAAACAGACAATATCACTTTAGCTGGACTGAGAAAAATTCAATAAAGCTTTAGAAAATAGGATTGAAAAGGTGGAAATGCAGAGAGTGATGCATCATCTAACAATACCATTTTTGATAGAACTTCTTCTCTGTAGGGCCTTCCGACACCAGTTACATGAAGGAAATTTGCGTACAAGGGTTCATCAAGCACTTCTATATCATCCCTCTGTGCGAACCCAAAAAAAGTTAGGAAAAAGGTATATTAATTTATTAACCAAGAAACAAAGCACATTGGCATCATCATAAAATGAATGTTGTTATGGTTAGTTCCCTTCAGTAGAACATTCAGAAAAACATGATTTTGAGCTTCCTAGTCAATCAAGCCAAATCATAACCTGAGATCATGTAATGCAATTGCACAAATTGAATCAAGAACCCATTCACCAATTTATCAAAACATATAAGCAACAAACATTCTTTCATCAATTTATGTGCCTAATATACTGGATTCAATTGCTTCAAAGAAATTACAAAGCAGGCTTTTGAATTTAGGAGCAAATAATTTGGAAGAAAAAAACAAGTGAAGTTAAGCTAAAAAGTAAAGTTTCAAAATTTCATAGTTGATACTGTAAATTGTAACATATTTCCCATTAATAACAAAGTTAAAAGTGATGATTTCAAAAATAGGGGATTCCTGTTCAAATTTATAAAAGTATCATATAATGATATGAAGGATCCATAATAATCCCAACATGATCATATAATTCAAAGCACAGATACAGCAGATTCACATCCTGTTTGGTTGTTTATATAATAAATAATAAATTAAATTATTAAAAAAATAATAAGGAGAAAAAAAAAAAAAAAGTGAACTGGAACACTTTCCAATTGACTCGTTTAAAATTTAGATAATTGGATGTGCTTGGCTGTTAAAGAGAAACAACACAAAAATCAATACGTTTACTTCTTGTGAAAATTTAAATTTGTTTATTTCATCTAAAACACAACATTACCTAATCTAAAATTGGAAGAGTAGCCTACACAAAATTTTGAATTCCCTTATTTGTTTCTCAGATTTTAAAATAGTTAATAACTTATTCCAAAGTTAAATTTCAATTTGCACAACCCATAGAGTTAGAGTCAACCACTCCCCATAGTTTTTTTCTTTTCTCTTTGGGTGATTTTAATCAACACAAGCTCATCTAATTATCGTAAAAATATAAAATAAAGACAGAGAACTACACATTAATTGAGTTGCAGTCAACACAAACTCATCTAATTATCAAAAAATAATAACTAAAAACAGAGAATTACAAATTACTTAAGTTGCATATGAGGGCATCTCCAGCCTTACCCTTTACCCATATCAAATTCAAATCTGAGTAAACAACCCTCCAAAACTATCTCCATTCCTTCATTGTTTTACTCAATTTTTTTACTCAAATAACAAGAAAAACTCAAATGTTTACTCAAATTTTTCAAAGCTATTTTGTGACTTTGAAATTTAACACCTTGCCATTAGTGAATCTTTATACTTAAATCCAACTTTATATAAGATGTAAAGGGTTAATTACACTTTTCACCCATGTAGTTTGACCCAAATTTGAACAATTTGGTCCCAACATTTGAAGTCTTGTTTCAAGTTGGTCCTCTCATCTAAATTAAAATTAACAATTTTACAGCACTTCCGTATAAATTAAAAGTTAATTAAAAAATTTGGGACACTTTTCAATTTCTGAGCTGTACACATAGACAAAATTAACAAAAATTTAGACGGGAGAAACCAAATTGAAATTAGACTTAAACGGTAAGGAACAAATGGTTCAAAGTAAAACTTGAGTCAATCAAACTATAAGAGTGAAAAGTGTAATTAATCCAAATTTAAATTTGGATTACAGATTACTTAAAAACCTCTCCAACCCTTGACTCAAAAGTCTATCAAATCGAGTTTTACCCTCTCTTTTCTTTTTTTTTTTTGAACCCAAATCAAAGGAGACACAAATGTTTACTCAAATTTTTCATAACCATTTTGTAGCTTTCAAATTTACAAGTCTACCATTACTGAAGCTTTTAGTCAAATATACACTTGAATCTGAATTTGTCCATTAGAGTGCTTTCATAAGAGTTGGAAATGGCCTCATATCAAGCTTTCACTCAAAAATTTTAAAGAGAGAAAGAGAGAGAGAGAGGTACCTGAGCAAAAGAGTACATGAGAACGGTACTGAGAGATCTAGGAGCAGACCATGAGTGAATCACCTCTACCAACTCTTCCTCTTTCCTTGCTTCCATTTTCGACTCCCGATTGTTTCGCGCATCAACCAACGGGGCTTTTCCCAAATTAAACCAAATTAGAAACCCGAGTTATCAAATTAGGCCAAAGCGCTGAGCGCTGTTATAAACGATTTCATTCTTTCCAGCCCCTCCCGTCAAAAATTCGGGAAATAGTAAAAAAGAGAGTTATAAATCACGCTTTTAATTATTAAGACGTGTTATAAATCACACTTTTAATTATTAAGACGTGGTTATAAATTATATTTTTAAGTTAATTATAAAACATGGTTTTAAATTACACTTTTAAGTAAAATAATTTTTTTTTTTTTTTTCAAAAAATGTAATTTCTAACCACGTTTTCTTAATTAAACTGTGATATAAAAAAAGCGTGATTAGAAGCCACGCTTTCAATAATGCACCAAACACACGCACTCACAAACACCCTCTCTCTCTCACTCTCCGAGACAAACACACATGACTCTCACGCACAGTCACACTCCATATATATATATATATAAATTTTAATATATATTTATAATTTATTTTTTTTAAAAAAAATAAATTTTATCCCTAAACAGTAAAATAAAAAAAAATTAAGAATTAAAATAAAAAAGTAATCATTTTATGTAGGTGATTATTATTTGTTATTATAAATTATTATTATATATATTTAATATTGGTTTCAATTTTATGAAATAAAATTTATACATATATTAAATTATAAATATATATTAAAGTTTATATATATATATATGGAGTGTGAGTGTGTGTGTAAGTCATGTATGTGTGTGTCAGAGAGTGAGAGAGAGAGAGAGAGTGTGTTTGTGAGTGCGTGTGTTTGGTGCATTATTGAAAGCGTGGTTTCTAACCACGCTTTCTTTACAACATAGTTTAATTAAGAAAGCGTGGTTAGAAATCATGTTTTCTAGAAAAAAAAAAAATTATTTTACTTAAAAGCGTGGTTTGAAATCACGTTTTATGATTAATTTAAAGCGTGGTTTGTAACCACGTCTTCATAATTAAAAACATAGTTTGTAACCACACTTTTACTATTTCATAAATTTTTCGCGGGAGGAGCTGGAAACAGTGAAAGCGTGGTTTGTAATAGCGCTTTAGCCTAGTTTGAGAATTCTGCCCAAACTAGGCCTAGTTTAGAAAATAAGTTGCTAACTTAATTTAATTTGAAAAAAGCCCCTCAACCAACACGGGCTACTTGCACAGGATTTTTTTTTAAAATTTTATTTTGATTTTAGTTTTTGAATTTAAAGTAGTGTTTGCTTTGATGAAATAAAAATATAATAGGATGATTCTTTCTTGGGGTTAAAAATATATAATAGAATGATTCTTTCTTGGGGTTAAAAAATAATATACTCCATTTCACCTAAATAATGGCATTTGACTTTTATTTTAATTAATTAAACATTATTTAAAATTATTATCACAAAATAATATTATTATAATTAAAAGTAGTGTTTACTTTGATGAAATAAAAATATAATAGAATGATTCTTTCTTGGGATTAAAAAATAATATACTCCAGTTCACCTAAATTTAATGGCATTTGACTTTAATTTTAATTAACCAAATATTATTTAAAATTATTGTCACAAAATAATATTATTATTTATGTAATTGAATGGAATAAACTATTAGGATTTAGTTTTTCTCTAGTTAAAAATTAAACTGGATACAATTAAAGTCTCTGATCGAGAAGAACTATTAAACAGAATATTCTTACCGAAAAGAGTTTATGAAAATATAGTCCAGTTGAATTTTTTTTAAAACTTTTACCGATAAGAATCTTCAATTTGATGATTCTTTCTACCCTGAATCTTTCATTTAATGACTCTTCCTAGTCAAAAACTTCAACTTTGTGATTCAATTAAAATTCTAACTTAAGACAAGTCATACTTAAATATTAAACAACTAAGTTAATTGGATTTTGCAATCTCAAGATTAGGTCTTAATTATTTTAAAACAAATTACCAAAATTATGCTTTTTTTTAAAAAAAAACAAATGCGATTTTGTTACGAAATAACAGATATTCAACTAATCTGATTGAAGTTCAAATTAGAAGGCAAATTCTAGGGGCTTTTCCCAAATTAAGCCAAATTAGCAACTTATTTCCCAAACTAAGCCTAGTTTGGATGGAATTCCCAAACTAGGCTAAAACGTGGTTCACAACCACACTTTCAACGTTTTTGTGGCTGTCACGCTAAAATTTCCTGAAATCGTAAAAGCGTGTTTCCAAACCACGCTTTTAATTAAGAAAGCGTGGTTACAAACCACGCTTTTAATTAAAAAATTTTTTTTTATGAAAGCGTTGTTATGAACCACACTTTTAATTGATTTTTTTTTTCTTCTGAAAACATAGTTGTGAACCACGCTTTTAACTGATTTTTTTTTTCTTCTGAAAACGTGGTGGTGAACCACGCTTTTAACTAAAAAAAAATTTCTTTTGAAAACGTGGTTGTGTACCGCGCTTTTACTGTTCATAAAAGAAAGCGTGGATGATAACCACGCTTTTAACCAAAATCCGTTTTTAAGTGAAAGCGTGGTTCGTAACTACGCTTTTACACTTAGCTTTTTTCGATTTCACTCTCGCTCCCTGCTCTCACTCTCGCTCTTACTGCTTTCACTCTCGCTCTGCTCGAGCTCCCTCTACTCTTAGACTCTCTCTTGCTCGCACACTCGCTCTCTACTCTCACTCTCTCTCTCTGCTCTCTCTCCGTCCGTGGGTTGCTCTCTCTCGTTGGTATGGCGTTTGTCTCTCTCTGTTGATCTACTTTTAGGCGTTTATTGTGTTTGTGAAAATGTGAATGTGGGTACAATATGGGTAGAATTGCTCTCACTCTCGCTCTTACTGCTTTCACTCTCGCTCTGCTCGAGCTCCCTCTACTCTTAGACTCTCTCTTGCTCGCACACTCGCTCTCTACTCTCACTCTCTCTCTCTCTGCTGCTCTCTCCGTCCGTGGGTTGCTCTCTCTCGTTGGTATGGCGTCTGTCTCTCTCTGTTGATCTACTTTTAGGCGTTTATTGTGTTTGTGAAAATGTGAACGTGGGTACAATATGGGTAGAATAGGGTTCATGAATGTGAAAATGCTGTGAAATTAGAAATCATAAATTAGGGTTAGGGTTTTGAATTGTGAAATCAGAAATTAGGATTAGGGTTTTAGAAATTAGGGTTTTGAATTGTGAAATCAGAAATTAGGGTTAGGGTTTCAGACTTGGTAGTTATAAGAGAATGATGAAAGGCTGTGTGATTAAAAAGACATGAATGATAAAAAATGAAGTAAAAGAATATATATTTATATTATTGTATAAATTTGATCCATGCAAATAGCTCAATAGATCTTCCATATAGATCCATGCATGTTATCTACCACTAAAATACACACTATGATCATTCACTCTGCTTAAAATCTTTGATGCAAGTATGGAAATTGCAAACCAACAAAAGACTTTGCAGGTAGGCCCTTAGCTATCTTGAATATTTTCATATTTTGAAGTTACCAATATATGTAGGAGATTTGTCTTAGACATAAAAGAGGTAAATCCAAATGAAAAAATTAAAATTAAATATCTTCCTTCCACATAGAGAATCACCAAGGTAAGGAGTTCCCATACGTGGTATACGGCAAGCCAACCCTTTGAAAAATTCTATTAATGAAAACTAGACTACCATTGGAACATTCAACAAACCATCTTAGAAATCTCAAAAAAGCTTCTACCTTTCTCCTACAAATGGCCTAAAGCATACAGTCAAGCAGCCCCAAACATTTAAATTAAATAACAAGATTTCAATATAAGATACGATCACATTTAGAAACCTATTTGAGATTTTGTGACCCAAAAATTGGAAGGTACCCATCCCTCCATACTCCAATTTATATTCCCCCAAAGCCTTGAAGGAGAAGGTGGTGAAGGCTTCAGTGCCCCCTCTTCAAAATTTAAAGATAGCATCAAGTTCAATTCATACAAGTGTTCCTCAGGCTTTCATATACATACAAATAACTTTGATTAACTTTGATTAAAATAACTTTGTATGTATATGGGGATATTATTGTATAAATTTGATTAAGATGAAAATTTTACAAGAAAATATAATTCTAATTTTAAATAACTTTTACAATAAATATGATTCTAATCCTGTCTATATTTTTTGTATTGTGAAATGTGAATCCTGTCTATATTTTTTGAATTGAAAATTTTATTTTTTGCTTGTTAATCCTGTCTATATGGTTAAATCTTCTTATTCTTTCACTTATCTCTTAAGCTACATCATTTGGGTTGTTTTAGGAAATATGTTAAAAGCTAATTTTTTGTTTTTTTTTAAATTTTTTTTTTAGAAAAACGTGTAAAAAAAGTAGAGAAATGATGTGACCCAAAAAAAATTAGAAGTCAAAAAATAACTTTTAACCTCTTTGCCAAAAGAGGCCTTTGAAGTCTTCCTCAAAAATGCTATTACCAAAATATTTTATAAAAATTAAAAAATTTTGTTTAAAAATTATGTTTGAAAAAAGGGCAAATTACATATACCCCCCTTGAGGTTTGGCTAAATTACAAATACCTCCCTGAGGTTTGAGAAATTACAAATTTTTCCCTGAATACTATATTTGCATAACAAATTAGGGGGTAATTTGTTATGAAATTTAAAACTCAGGGGGCAAATTGTTATGAAAATACAAACCTTAGGGGGCGGGATGTAATTTTTGAAACCTCAGGGGGGTATCTGTAATTTAGCCAAACCTCAAGGGAGGTCTATGTAATTTGCCCTTGAAAAAATTAAAATTTTTGATTTATAAAATGACTCATTCTCGATAATTTTTACCCACTTAAACTATCCAATTGACTTATTCCCTATGCGTCTGGATTATGTTTATTCAATTAAGCTTTATATTTTTATGATAGTCGGATGTCTGAATCAGTTTACGTATTTCTCGACTGATCTTAGAATCCACACCAAATGTCCCTTCCACGTAGATCGGACAAATCTCAAATAATACCTATAAACACGACCTCAAGACATTAATAACACATAATGAGAGTTCAACTTGAGACCTGAAAGGAGCATACCTAATTTTTAACACAAAATGAGAGCTCATTAATATTAATGAAACTCAAGTTTGACTCGGTTCGGCTCGATAATTTTTTT